ATAGTTTCACTAAGGAAAGGCCTTGGCTGACTTGCCTGGCTTCTTCTGTAGCTGGGAAATTATAGGCTGTCTTTTAGAGAACAACCATTGTGAATTTTAATTAAAGGCTCAACACTTTCTCTTTGGGCACCTGCCCATAATGCTGCTGAGGGCACCTGAATTTTTTTGCCTTTAATCCACCTCCTCCTGAGGGGCCAGGAAAGCCTGACAGCTTTTTGTGAGATCAGAAAGGAAGGCAGTGTGGGCTTGGCAGGAGCTGAGAGCCAAAGTTTCCTTCTCCAGCTGACAGGGCTGGCTCCCCTGGAACATGTCCTCTGGCACATTGGCTCCATACTAATTATCTCCTGCTCAGCTTCTGATCTGATCACTTGGGAATGGTGCAGACATCCTTCGGCCTTCATCACTGCCTTGGGCTGCTTGTCAAAAGCCAACCTTGCATTTCAGGGCTGGCTGCTATGTTCTAAACGCCTTGTCTTCTGTTAGCCTGGCCTTTGTGCTTCATTCAGGTGAAAACTGCCCTTGAGGTCTGGTGACAGACTGCACCTGAAGGATGTGTACGTCTGACATGGATCAAATGCTGTCTGGCTTGAAGGCAAGAGAATGGACAAGGTGATCTCCAGGGACTCTCTTGGCCTACAGATTACAGGACATGTGGTATCTTTTTAAAACCATTTTAAAATCAACACAGTATACACACACACACACACACGTGTGTGTGTGTGTATATATGTATATTATATGTATATATACTATGTATATATGTGTATATACACACACATATACATATATATGTATATAAAAATATGCAGCTTGCTGAATTTTTGGAAAGTGAACACCCCAAAACAACAATAAAAACATTATTAGCACCCAAAGGGTCCCCCAGCTCCCCCTGCCACCTTCTACTTATTTCCTTCCTAAGTAAGGCTAACTACTATCTGGACTTCCAGTACAGTTATTTTGTTTTTGAACTTTATATGAAGAAAATTATACAGTATATACATTCAGTGTCTGGCTTCTTTTGCTCAGCATTATGTTTGTGATATTTGTCCATATTTTTGTATGTTCCTGTAGTTTCTTCATTCTGATTGGGCAAGTATATCACAACATATTTATCCATTCTATTATTTACAGGCATTTGGGTAGTTCCCAGTTTGAGGCTACTATAAATAGTGCTGCTGTGAATATTCTTGTATGTGTCTTTGGGTGCACATATATTCATTCCTGCTGGGAATATACTTATGAGTAGAGTTGTTGGATCATAGGGGAAGCCCATGCTCAGCTGTAGTACATATTGCTAAGCAGTTTTTCCAAAGTGGCTCAATCTGTACACATCCCACCAGCAACATGTAGTCTTCTGGCTTTTCCACATTTGGCCAAAGCTTGGTATTTTTCCTTTTTCCTTTTTCCTTTTTGCCATTCTCACGAACCTGTAGCGGTATTACATCATGATTTCATTTGCATTAATGTGGTGATCTGATGATTAGGGAGGTTGAGTACCTTTTTTTATGTTTATTGGTCACTGGGGTATCTTTTTTTATGAAGAGGCCCTTTGAGTCTTTTGCTCATTTTTCTGTTGGAATATTTGCCTAAGTTTTATCGATTTGTAGAAGTTCTTTATGTATTACGGATATAAATCCATTGTTGGATAATGTATGCAAATATTTTCTCTTATTCTGTTGCTAGTCTTTTCACTCAGTAGTGTCATTTGCTGAACAGAAGTTTTTCATTTTACTCTAGTGGATCACATGGATTTTCAGAATAATATAATCAACAGTAGTTAATTACTTGCTTACTGTGTCCTCATATACCTTGCTCATTTAATTTTCACATTAACATTTTTAAATAAAAATAATGAAGCTGAGAGAAGTTGAGCAATTTTCCCAAGTTAGGAAATAGCAGAGGCCAGATTCATACCCACCTCTTCCCACCCCAGAACCTATGCTCTCTGATCTCTGTTGCAGCGCAAAGGGAACCAATTAATAGCCCCTGGTGACTGTCCAATCCTTGGATGTTTCTTCTTTGGCTTGCAGATTTGTATTTCAGTCAAATTAGTTGCCATCATTAAAAAATTAAAATAAATACTGATTTTTAAGTTTTCTTGGAAAATTGTGCGATCTGGCAATACTTGTCCCATTTCCCCACATGTCAGCCTGGGCTGCTGGAGCAGAGTAGTTACTGCCCCTGAAGATGAACCAGAGCTCTTTAGTTCTCCACTGGGGGAGCTATGGTTTGTCATGCTTGGCCTTCTTCAGTCATTTTGTTTCCCCCCTGGCTCCTGGTTGTACATATTCCCTTTGTTCCTTTGTTTATTGTATCCTTCCTTCTTCATTTCCCCCTCCCATACTTCTCTACCCCTGCCACCCCAGCTGAACCAAAAAGTTTCTCTTTCCATCTTTGGTTTTCAAAAGTGGGATTATGATGTGTTTAGGTATGTGGGTGTTTATTTTTATTTTTTTATTTATTCTGTTTGGAGTTTTCCGGAATTCTTAGATCTGTGTTTTCATAATTTTGATTAATTTTGGAAAATGTTTAGCCATGATCCATTCAAATATTCCTTCACTCCTGTTCATTTTAACTCCTGTTCTTTCTTTCTTTTTTTTTTTTTAAATATTTTATTTATTTACTTTTAGAGAGAGGGGAAGAAAGGGAGAGAGAGATCAATGTGTGACAGATACATCAATCAGTTACCTCTTGCAAGTCCCCAACTGGGGACATGGCCCACAACCCGGGCATGTGCCCTGACTGGGAATCGAACTGGCGACCTTTTGGTTTGCAGGCTGGTGCTCAATCCACTGAGCCACACCAGCCATGGTTGTTTCTCTTAATTCTTCTGGGACTTCAATTATATATATGACAGATATTTTGATATTGTGGTACAGCTGTTGATTGCTAGTTTTTTTTCTTTTTGAACTCTTTTTTCTCTTTGTGTCTTAGTTTGGCTATTCAGATATTATTCAGGTATATTGAATCTTTGGCTGTGTTTAATCTCCTGCTAAGGCACTCTAATAAAGACATTTTCATATCTGATATCATTTGTTGTTTTATTTTCTAGTATTTTAATTTTACACTTTTGCATTTCTGTCTCTCTATGGAAATTCCCAATTTTCTCATACACGTCGTTCAGCTTTTGCATGAAAGTCTTCTTTAATATATTAATTTTAATTATCTTAAAGTCTCTGATAATTTTGGCATCTAGATTAACTTTGGTTTTGTTGATTTCCTTATTTCTTGACAATAAATATAGGTTTATTATTTTTTATGTGTTTTAATATTTTTAATTGAATTCTGGACATTGCACATGAAAGGGCAGTAGAAACTGAGGTAAATGGTGTTTACCCCTGGAAATGTGTTTCTGTCTCTTCTGTCAGGCTGTTAGTGAGGGGAGCAGAGTCAATGCAGTCAGAGGATGAGCTGGGCTTGGATTTTGTCATTGCTATAGTCACCTTCACTGTACTACAGATTTCAAATTCCTTCAGCAGTGGGTTGCTGTCTCCACATGTTTTGGAGAATTTGTTCTTATTGTTTCCTTTCTATCTTTGAGCTCTCAGTAGTCCTTTGCCACAGAGGCCTCTCTCTCCTGCCCCTCCCCCAACAGCAGACTCAGTGCTTAAGGCTTTTTTGATTTGAATGGGAGATGGTCCTGGAAGATGGGTGGGCTTCCATGGCTGTGTGGAACGAAAGGTGATTTCTCCCATTTCCTAACTTGCCTATTGTCCTTCTCTTAAGTACCATGTGGTAGTCATTGGATAGGATCTTATGAATGAATGCAAACTTTTTGTGTGTCTGGAGCTCGCAGTTATTCTAACCTGTCATGCTAACCTACACTCAGCCTTCCAGAAATTTAAAAAAAAAAATTTCTCCGTTTCTTCTTACTCACTCTTATGGTGACTACTTTTCCTCCATGTTCTGCCAGATGTGAGACTGTTGGTGTGTGTGTTCAACCATCTTTCCTTGGAGGGGCTTTTCTCTCTCACTTTAAAATTTAGTTCATTTGGTTCTCTTGCAACTTCCACTCTCTGATGGGTTTATGAAAAGTTTTGATTTCATAGATTATCCAAATTTCTCTTGTTATTAGCGTAGAAGCTATGTTTTCTTGCAGTTGTCTATATCCTAACTGGAAGCAGCACCTCTGGTAGTAGAAAAAGAATTTGTTTACTGTTCGCCTCACTCTTAGTGCCTCATCCAAGAGTGGGCTGAGTTCCCCTTTCCCTCCTGGACTTTATGTCAGAGGATCTTGTGAATTAAAAACACACTGCTCCTCTGCGGATTATATTTTTCTCATCAGGTGTCCATAACTAATATTTATTTAAGGGAAAACCCCTTTTTAGAGGTTTAATGTGATAACTTACTAACTTTATGAGCTGGGGATAAAAAAGATATGACTTAGTAAATTTTCTTTTTAAAATTAATCATTTTTAAGAAAATTATGAGTCATTAACAAAGTAGAGAGTTAAAAATAGAGAAAGATACAAAAAAAACAAAGAAATAAAAACCACCCATAATTCCATTAACTAAAAAACCATTACTACTATTTTATCAAATTTATTCTAGTCAGTTTTCTTTGGGTATGTTTATGTTAGTTTATCTACAAATGTATACATGCTCAAGTATATGATTTTGTGTTTTGTTTAAATAAGCTAGCTTCAAAAGGTGTCCTTTTTCTGTGGGTTAAGTAGTATGGCACTCAGGAAATGATGATGTGTTATCCTTGTTTGGTGAAGATGCCAAAATTTATGGAATATTTTTCGTTTGCTGTCAGGGCTGGATTCCTTCTGGTAGCTATTTCACATGAGCAGCCGGGACAGGTGTGTATATGTTATTCCAATGGAATGTAATTCATTTCAGAAAAGACCAGTTGTTGATTCCTTGTGCTGAGGTCCCCCTTTCCTCATGTAACTTCCATTCCTTTTTATTTACGCTGGCTCATTGTCAAGTTCAGAACCAGCAGAAATGAGAAAAGTATATAATGCTCTTAATATGTGTTCTACTTTCTTTTCCAGAAAGTATTTTGGAGAAAAAATTGGACTGTATTTTGCTTGGCTGGGATTATATACATCATTCCTCATCCCATCTTCTGTAATTGGAGTGGTTGTGTTTCTTTATGGATGTGCAACCATTGAAGAAGATATTCCCAGGTAAGACAATTCGAAAGAAAAAGGCTCATTCCCATGTTAGTAGTTTGAAGTTTCATCTTAGTTGCAAGTACATTTCACACATCTCCTTCCAAAGTCCTCACCTCTATCTTTCTTCCCCTACCACACATGTAACTTGTCTGCAGAGACAGACATGGGAGCTAAAGATTCTGGAAATTACTTTATAGCCATGCTGGGCATGGCCCACTTTCTTTCCTAGTCAAGCTCTTCTCCAGGGCCAGGGTCTGATGTGGGCAGGAGAGTAATGCCTGATGAAAAAATTGTGCCTGAGAAATGCTTTTTGCCCCTTAACCTCATGAATTCCCCTCCGCCCCCGATTTTCCACAAAATCCATAACAGGAAGGATTGAATGGTATTGGGTACAGGTCACATGTCTCTAGGTCAAACACTGTTGGGATAAAATGCCATGAGGCTATTTGTAGAAGCAGGCAGCTTTGGAGCTGAGGAAGGCTCAGCCTCTGGCTCAGGAGTCAGAATCTACAGGAGGTGACAGTTTCCATGGTGGGGCTCTTGGAGAGCCAAGACACGGAACAAAGTCTGGTTCTTGCAGGGAAGACAGAGCCTGCAAAGAAAGTAAGCACTAAAAAAATAGTTGCTTACTTTCTTTGTCCTCTAGCACTAGGGAAGAATTAATACTTACCAAATACCTTGTGTCTGGTGTGATGCTAGGTGGTTTTATGTACTAATTTCTTTGGTGCTGTAGAGATCAACATTATAAACTATGTAAGTGAGTTATTATTTTCATCTAACAGAGATGGGGAAATAGATGATAAGTGAGGTCACATAATTTGTCCAACTTCAACAGCTCATAATTGTCAGGGTTGAGATTTGACCTCTGATGCCTCTTGCAGCTCCAGAGTCTTTGCTTTTCCCCATAGGCTGTGAAGTCTTGCAGAGGGCTCATGTGCTCCTCGGCAGTCCAGTAGCTTCAACTGGCCTGGTCTGATGCATTCTCAGATGGCTCCCGTGTTTTCTTTGCCCAGTTGTGATCTCTAGAGAACTGGACCTCAGGTTGATCAAAACTGGACATCTCCATACTGTGCTTAAAGAACCAATGCCAGTATAGTGGGTGGGGCATCAGTGTGCTGGTTGTGTGTCATCTGTTGTGAAACAGCTATGTGGCCAGAAGCAGTTGGTCAAAATTATTTTGGGCTGCTATTCTGTTAGGAACAATGAACCCCCTCTTGCCCTTCCTCCACTTTCCCAATTTTTTAACTCCTACCAAACATATACATGCTGCAAACACATGTAGCCATGCACACGCACACACTCATATATGTGCAGAAGTGTAGGGATGTGAAATGTATTATCATTGCAGATGTATTATAGTGCCTGTCAGAGTGTGGGATGTTTTTTTTTAACAGAGGAAATTTTTTTTTAATTTCTGGAAGGCTGAGTGTAGATTAGCATGACAGTTACATGAGGAACTATGGGTAGCAACCCATTCATGAGTTACAGAATCAATTTAACCATTATATTTTATTGTATTTTCTCCATTATTATTTATTCCACTTATACATGCCCCTGCAATCACCACACTGTTGTCCATGTCCTTGAGTCCTTTTTCCTTTTTGCTTGATCCCTCCTAACCTGACCCAGAGCTGTCAGCCTGCTCTCTATCTATGAGTCTGTCTCTATTTTGCTTGTTCAGTAAATAAACTAGACTACGACAGGAGAGAATAGAGTGAAATGTAATATTAGTATTAATCACAAGAAGGAAGTGTAAATATTGTTGCATAAGATTTTATTCAGATATACGACTATGTTTATGGCAAGATGCAAAGATAGGACTGAGGGGTGCAATGTATCCTTCACCCAATTTCCCCGAATGGTTGTGTCTTATATAACTACAGTACAATATCAAAACCAGAAAATTTACATTACGTGGAACTCTAAATGGTACCTTTTATTGCCAATAACTTTGATATGTGAGATACAAGTATCATTTGTAAGTAATAATTCCATATGTGCATGATACATCTATAGAACTTTCTTTCCTCTGCTTACCAACGGATTGGTTCCATTTGTTAGGCATTTGCTTACATGGGTAGGAAAGACTGGAGCATTTAAAAAAAACTGATTAATCTAAACCATATTGAAAAAAATTGGTTACTTTAGGTCTGCACCTTAGTAACAGATGTTCTGTCTGAGTTTCCTGAATAATTGCCTACTTACACCTTCGCTCTTTCTCCTAGCAGAGTGCTGTACCACCTAACTTGTGAGCAGTGAGTTCCTCATTAAGAACACCACTCACTCTGGGCTTTTATCAACCTATGCTTTCTAGAGAAAATGACAAATTGAAAAAATACACTATTAGATTTAGAGCCACAGTTACTTCTAACTAGAAAGCTGTGGATTATGCAGTTAGTGAATAATCTAGATGTGATTTCAGTTCTAGGTAAGCTGCCTTCACCTTTCAGCTTGTCTAGAGGCAGCCTCTCTCAGACAATACAAAGTCATTTTAATATCATCCTGAGGCAGAATTTCTTCAGAATTGTGTTCCAATTGCTTAACTGAGAAAATAAAACCAAAGCCCAAACCAAAACAACCCAACTCAGTGCATACTAAGCATTCTGACTTCCAATTTAAGTGATTGGAGAGTATCCATGCTACAGCGCTGCCGTTTTGTACAAATGATTGATACTTGACTGTACTCTAATTTTAAAACAGTCATTTACATAGTAGTTAAGTTTCAAAGTGCTCTGCACTAAGTTGGTTGCTAATACTTTTTTGTTTCTGACCATTTAGCACTGACTAGATTTGATTAGGAATAAGCTGACTAGGATTATCCCTCCCCCAAGTCTATGTGTAAAAAATACCCTGAACAACAAAGACCGTGACACACAAGCTTGAAGGTCAGCCCTGAGGACTCAGATATTCTCACATACGGCTTAAAAGCACAGCGCTTTTCTAGAACTTAAACAGACCAACAATTTTCTGTGTGAATTTGTTTTCCAAGAGGGTGCTCTCCTCTCCAAATGTAGCAACTGCTTCTCAACTATGTAAGGAACACTTATCTGACCCAGAAGACTTAAAATAAACCTCACTCTCCAGTGAACAATAAGAACGTGCCCAGGTGAAGCTAGCACGGCCGAACCGATTAATAAGATATTACTATTTAATATTGTCGACGTGAATGAGTCACTGTTATTGACACTTGCCAATGGAGACCTTAGCAGCGAGTCAGTGGGGGAACTAGGATTTATCCTCAGAGACCTGGAGTTTCCATTCTCTCACACAGAAGGCCTTTCCCTGCTGTGGCCTTAATAGCTCATTAAAAACAAGCCCGAAAGCTGGGGCTTGACAGGCAGTGACAGCCTTCAGTAAAACCTTTCAGCTTCTTAATGAAGGAAAACTAGATCCAGGCATCCCTTGGACTACTGGGTTAAATCTCAGCCCTTGTTTAGCACACAGGGTACCAGCTTACTGACCCTGGCCATGGCCTCCCACTTGCCAGCCATGCTCTATAGCACCCTCTGCTGCCTCTTTTCAGAGAAAACTCAGCTGCGGTTTTCAAAGGGGGATCCCCTGAACTCCATCCCTGTCTCCAGCTGCTCTGCAAGAAGAACTAATGCTTCATTTTCATGAAAATTCAACTTCTCCACCCCTTTCCCCAAAGCCATGAGCTTAACTGTCTACCCATTCCCCAGGAGGAATATTACACCAGGGTGACAAGTTCATGTTTTTCCTCATCAATATATGGTGTGGATAGATATTGGGAGGCCAGTTAGGGCTGGTAGTTCCTTGGTTCTTATTTACAAGCACTCATATGAGTCTGAGTGTATTGGCTCCAGCGAATCACCTAATGAATGAAAGGAATTTCAAGTATGTTCATCAGTCCATTAAATAGAAATGTAATGAGAATTGGTTAGAATATAGGTGATGGTTATTTGACTCATGCTTCTGTCCCAAAGACCATGGAATCTAGACTTTGGAAGAATTTACCTTATTTTTTTTTTCATTTTCCCTAATCCCATTTTATGGTCAGGATAATTCTTATTAGGTGGAGGTTATTAATCCCTATTCTACAAATGGTCTTGCAGATGATGCACTTAGAAGAGGTCTTCCCATCCATATCTGACTTCATTCTCCTTCACATGGCTTCTTCTTCCAGCAATAAGAGCTTGTGTTTGTTTCTCCTAGTGATCAGTCTCACACATTTGTGAGATAGACCAGAGGTTTAAGAAAACAGGCTATGCTTGGAGGGTGATGAAATCTAACTTCAGGCGGGTGATTTATCCCCAGTTGTTGGTGCTTCCCACCAACCTCATCCACTCCTCACATTTTGGAGGAGATTTATAAGGCATCATTCAGTATACAACATCTTTGACACATGGTCACTAGCTCTCTGTTGAGATGCTTCTAGTTACAGGGGGCTCCATACCTCAAAGGGTGTCCCATTTTTTTTTTGGACAAAAGACAAGAATAACACTCTCAAGGTAAAAAAAAAAATCCAATCCCACCTTCTTTAATGCACCTCATGTATGGAGATGATAAGCTCAGCCATGGATTCAGAAGTGGCAGATGTTTTGGGGCTGATTTGTTTGGGGTGGGTCGTACAAGAGCTTTACCTAACCCAGTAGCCTCTGTCTACTGCAGCAAAGAGATGTGTGACCAACAGAATGCCTTCACCATGTGTCCTCTGTGTGACAAGTCCTGTGATTACTGGAACCTCAGCTCAGCCTGTGGTACGGCGCGGGCTAGCCACCTGTTTGACAACCCTGCCACTGTCTTCTTCTCCATCTTCATGGCTCTGTGGGGTAAGTGGTTTTCATGAGGCTTGGTTATAGGAATGGTACCTTGAAAAGGGCATAGTGTCTGTACTCCAGTAGCTCTATTCTTCAGTTTACTTCCTTTAACATTTAGGCCTTGTATCTTGAGAAGTATTTTAGGGACAGTAGATTTATCTCCTTTACTCATATATTCAAATAGACCTAGGAATATTCTCATTTTTTTGAATATATATATATATATATATATGTATCCATATATATATATACATACACACACATATATATACACATAATATATAGTAATGTTAACCTTGTATTAGTCTCATTGTATGATTTATTCAGAATTCGAACCAATGCATATTTTGAAAACCCCCAGTCCACCTCTGAGGCACAGCCAGGAAATCTACTAAGACATGTAAAGTCATAGATGTCAACCAAAATAACACTCAGAGGGCTGGGACCATGGCCATGGTCGCAGAGGTAACTGGTGGTAAAGGTGGGACTAAACCTGGTCTCCTGACTCCAGGTTCAGTATAATTTCTAGAATATCAATGGTGTAGGCTGTAGAGATTTTACTTAGAGCAGAGTAGCATTTTCAGTATTTTCAACAAAGGGATTTGTGAAGGAAAGAACAAATAGTTCCTTCACTGTCCTTTTCCTCACTTTCATTCCCCACCCTCCACCCCAGAGTATCAGGATAATAGACTTTTTCTGAGCCGTAGCCATCTGGACACACACACACACACACACACACACACACACACACACACACTTCTATTTTCACAAACTGAGATAAACCTGGAATAATAACCTTGTCATCACTGAACATTTCCAAAAAGACACACCCATGTATATTTAAAAAAGGGACAAACTCAATATGTTTCAGCCCATCTTGAATAGCCACCTGCTTTTTACTCATCATGGATGTGCAAGCCCTTAGCTTTCCCTTTGGATCACAGACCAGCAGGGACATGATACTGCTGCACAGCCTGCTTGATTTATCATTGACTCCATGAGGCCTGGAGGACGTGCCAGGAGGGGGCCGTGAGTCACATCCCTGAAAGTGTGAGGAGGAGAGAGGAAGAGGTCTGTGCTCAACAGTGCTGGGAGAACCGAACACACTGTCCTCCATCCCCTGTAGGGACTTCTACCTGGGTGGAGAGAGAATCAGGCTGGAAAGATGCCTATATTCCTAGGCCACCAAGGACAATTTCCAAGGGCACTATATTCTCAGGGAGAACAGCTGCTGTCCAGGGCACAGAGACAGTGGTCATCTCAAAAGAGTGGGGACAAGAAGTGGGAGGAAATGGCATTTGTGACCATATAGCTCTGGAAATGTTCACAGGAAGGGTCAGTAGGACAAACTGAAGTTGAAGTTTGTTACCTGGGAAGTCATAGGCAGCTTTGACTTCTCATCAAGCAAGGGCATCTTGTAATTACTCTAAAATTTACTTGAACTGATTTGGAACTCAGAATATGCTTTCATTTTCTGATATTTTGGGACCCTAATGCCATTAACTTGTCTTACTGATATTACAGTGACCAAATAGCTGAAGTTTAATAACACTGGGTCCGTGATCCCTTAAGAATTTTGATGAGCTGCATAATTCCTGGTTACAGAGAAACTTGGTTTTCAATTTTACTTGCCTATTTTCAAGCCTCAACAGCTTCCTCTTCTTTCTCAATAGCTATAGTGAATAGATACCTCCCACCCCTTCTGAGATCCTCAATAATTTACTACCCCAACCCCTGGCTCCTCTCTCTCTCATGCAGCAGTGTAGGGAAAACAAAAAGGGTGAGATTGTGTCAGAGCTTCCTGGCAAAAGTTAGGGTTTGGTGGTGTTTTTTCTTTTTTAACAGCCGTGCTGTGTTTTATGTGATTGTATATTTGGTTGCAACAGCCAAGAGCCCCTGGGCATGATTGCCTACATATTACAATTAAAAATAATAGTAATGCCTCTCATTACCATGATTATTATGATCAGTGTTGCTTTGCTGGGTGGGCCTGGGCCAGGGCCCATGCCTGCCAGGAATAAGGCTGGGAAGAAGTGGTTCTCCACAGAGAGAGACTCAGCCTATTGTGGGGTGGGAGTGGTGGTTGCCAAGATGGGGGTGGGGGTGCATGGAGGGTTCTAGTCAGGAAGACCTGGGTCTGTTGGAGTCTTCAGGCCCAACTCCTCTGCTGTTATGGCCTCAAACTCAAGGGAACTTTGGAAAAAGAGTGAAGCTCTACTGAAAAGAAAAGTAAAGGGACAGGATTTCTAAACTCTTTTTTGACTTAGGGGACTACCTGATGAATGTCTCAATCCCGCCCCTTCCAGCTATGGATCCCATAGCAAGCCAATGTGAACTCAGCACTTTGCCATCGAAGTCAGTACTCTTAACTCAGGTGTCATGTAACCTGGGGCACAGTACTTAACCTTTTGAGCACTCATCTCAGGTGGGTGAAATGGGTGAAGTAATAACCATCCCATAGTGTTCTGTGGCAAGTGAATGAGATGTGTGTGCAAAGCACTTGGCACAGTACCTGGCACACAATACGTGCCAGGAACTGTGAGCAGCTCTTCACCATTATTAGGGCCCTCCCTTGTCCTCATAGCTCCTCTTTCAATGAATTTTTTGCCTGTCTTGTCCATTCCCACAGTCTGACTTCTGTCCTTCATAGACATTGCCGTCAGAAGCCCCCTGAGCCTTGCTGTGTGCAGAGCCTTCCCAGGCACTGAAAAGAGCATAGGAGGAGGCGGGATTTTCACGCACCCCCCCTCCCCGCCCCACATTGCATCCCCTGGGGCAGTGCTAGTCTTGGGAGGTCAGGATACACTTACATGAAAGCCTCAAATCCTAGGAGAAAACATACAGATTAGTTCACTGTCATGTTGCACCAAGTAAAACAAATGAAGCTTTAAGTAATTGCATATTTAACCAATCTGTGGTGTTTGTTATATTCAGCACTGTGTTGTGCCCAAGGTAAACAGAGGCAGCTAGGAGTCAAGAAAGAGTTTACAGATCTGTTACTACACTACAGGCCTGAATGGCCGCCAGCAGTCCAGTGCCTGTGCAATGAAGGGCACTCTGGCTCCTATTGGATGTGGTGTAGAGGTGTAGGGGTGGCATCAGGGAGGGCCATATCCCTTTCCCTTTCTCAGGCAGCAGACCCTGAGAAAGAGAGGGTGCCCTTGAGCCTGATCTTATGGAAGAAGTAGGACCTGAGCTGGTCAGGAAAGGGTGAGGGTAGGCATTGCCAGGTAGCATAGGAGAGGGGGACAATTTGCACAAGTTGAGAATGAAGAGGACAGAGGGAGAGAGCATCAGCAGCAATGCAGCTGTAAGGTGTATGCTGATAAATGGCGGGAATAGATGTGGACAGGTGGGTCTGGCCAGATGTACGGGGTCCTAATATCCGGAGATAACAGGCCATAAGAAACCATTGAAAGTTTCAGTGAGGGGTGGGGTGAGGGGATGTTGGCATCCTTCCTTTCCCCACCCCTTCTTCGCTGCCTGAACGCTATTGTTCTTCAAGACTCAGCTCAGATGCCCTCTCTGACAGCTAGCACTCCCTGTCCTGCATGTACACAGCCTTTTATCTGTGTCCTTCTTAAAACCTGGTCACTCTGTGCCTTGTATTGCAGTTATTTACAATCTCTCCCCATAGACTATAAACAACTTGAGAGCAGAATCCACATCAGAGTCCTCTCATCTCCTTCCTGATGCCTAGAACAGTGTTTTGTATATTGCAGAGACCTTAGTGAGGCCTAGGGCATTCAAGTTTGTTCAAATAACAAGAGATTTATTGTAAGAAGGCAAGACGCAAGCTCATGGGTGCAGGAAATAGAGCCAGGTTTCTGGGGAACTGGAGCTGGAGTTGCTATCAGAAACCACAGCCCTTTCTCCTTTCAGGTTCTGCTTGATTCCTGCTTTCTTTGTTTCTCTTTGTGTCTCTTGGTTTCAGTTTTCAAAAGAGAGAATCTGGTCCCTTGGCAGGCTCTAGATCAGATGTTTAATCTTTGTATTATAAACCATGGCTGTAGAATAGAGGGTGTTGGTATTTTTGGAGCATGTTGGGCTGGCCCTTCAAGAGGCTGTGGTTAGAGGAGGCAAACTGACCAATGTGTAGACATGGTAGGCATTCAACAAATAGTGGCTAAGAAATGGACAAATGAATAAATATCACTTAAGATAGATTAGTCTGTCAGCTGCATGCAAGATGGGTTGGAAGGCTGTGATTCTGGAGTCAGGTAGAACTATTAGGAGACTGTTACATAACCTCAGAATGTGATTATTAGGGCTCAGAACAGAAATGGTGCTGGGGACAGAAAAGCAAATAGGAGGGAAAAAAGAGCGTGCTGAGGGAGGTGCAGGAAGAAAGACTATGCATACACACAATGGGGTTGGTCCAAAAAAGATTACGAACTCTTTCATTCTTCTGCCATCCTTCCTCATTTCTTGAGATCAATGTTTACCCTATTCTCATAACCTAGACATGGGGAAAGGTGTGTGTGTGTTCCTTTAAGTATTATCTACTCAGCTCCTAACAATATGGAATATTTAGAGCATTTCTAGACAAAAGTCTAGGAGGAAAAGAATAAGTGCTTTAAAGAGAGCTCCTGAATTTGAATTCTATAAGTTTATTCTCTACTACGATTGGTGAACCCAAAGAGTACTCAAAATCTGTTCTTCAAAATTAACAAAATTTTTTCTTTCCTTTTAAGCTACCATGTTTCTTGAAAACTGGAAGAGATTACAGATGCGACTGGGCTACTTCTGGGACCTGACTGGCATAGAAGAGGAAGAAGTGAGTTCTTTTGCATGCTTCTCTGGGTTCTTGCTTTGCTTTGACCATGCATATAGAACATTCTGAGTGAGATAACTACTTACATGTACTGTCACACCAGCCAGTCAGTGGCTGGGTCTCACTGTGGCAGCTCTTTTAGCTTGACTTTTATAGGCTAAGCATGATTGATATGCAATGAGACCAAGAATTCAGGGTCCCCCTCTACTCTTGAGCTGTAAGACATTGGGCCTGGTGGGTAGCCAGACGTCCTAGTGCCCCTTTCTGGGAAAAGAGATGGCACAAGAGGCAAGCCTTGTAGCAGCCTTGAGGTTCCACTCACCATACTTCTATGTCCTGTGTCATTGATTCTAGTGACAATACATTCAGAGAATAGGAGTCACTTCCAGAACAGGAAATGTCAGAATGCCTCTGTGAGCCTACTGAGGGTCAAGTGAGAGGCATGAGTGCTAGATACTGGTTGTCTTTGATGCCTATGGAAGAAGAAAACCACTAGACCTTTCCAGTGTAAGCCAGTATACTATGTGAAGCTGGAGTATGACCTAAGGGTAAAGGGTAGGTTCTTCTAGAATCTAGTTTTATGGACAGATGATACAGGGCTGGGCAAAGGTAGGTTTACAGTTGTGAGTATGTGAAACACAAAGTTTATTCTTGTATTATTATTTATTAATTATCGTATTATTTTCCATATGAACAATTGTAAACCCACTTTTGCCACACCCTGTATTTAAAGGATAAAAGCAAATCACCCTTCCCTCTAGGCTCTCTTGTTAACTAGGGTCCCAGTCTTGATGTTTGCCAGCTGACAAAGAGCAGTGTGACATACTTGCTCACAGTCATCTCTTCCCACATGCAATCATTGACTGAAGAGCAAATGTCAGTATCAGGTAGGAGTTCCTGATGTTGTGAAGATTGTGTATGCGGTACTGGGAACAGCATCTAGAAAGACCAGGAGCCACTCCCAAGTGCCTAAGTACCCCCTTGCAAAGGATGACCACAAGCAATATGGCACTTGCATAGACAGCACGCCTTTTTCTCACTCTCTTAACAGAAATGGATGTGCCTTGCCTTGGCACAGCACCTCTGACTCTGTGGTCCTGATGTTTTATGGCCAAGCAAGTGAAATCCCCAATTTAGTCTTGTTCTCGAGCCTCTGTGGCTCCCCATATCTGTAGTGTGACATGATTTTCTCCATAGTGCTCTAATTAGTCAGCTTGCATTTGAGCATATGGACATAGTAATATATTGAGTACATATGCTCACTCTGTCCAGTCCTTTGCGTTAAGCATATGTCCTGAGACTAACAGCATCATGGATTCCATGACAAATGAGAGAGAATACATGGGCTCTGCCTTCAGAGAGGATGGAGTAGTTAGACAAGGCCACACTCTCTAAGAGGTCCCAGGAGCACCTAGGGCCTGACTGATAGAAGTTAACTGGGCAAGAGCAGCCCACTGAGCTGAAGATTGCCCCACTTCAGAGCAAAAGACTCTTGCAGTCTGGCAGGTCTCCCTTCAGCCAGCACAAACAGGGCTAAAGGAGCCTTTCAACAAGTCTCTTGGTGGTGTCCAGCTGGTTCCACAGGGAGGCCTCTTGGGCAGGAGCTGCACTGACCCAGGGGGGTGACTCTTGGATTTGGTTGTTCCTTGGATATTGGATGATCACGCTGGGCTTTAAAAACTCTTGAATAGCATCCTCTCCTATCATATTAATTATGTTTATTAGTCACATACATGGTTTCTCCTCTCCACCCTCTAGGAAAAAATGGCACATTTTGGAAAAGCCAAAGACAGGCCAGGAGCCTAGCTTGTTGGCTTCTGGAATCTCCAATGGAGTTATAATTCCTGCCTAGGAATTATTGGTAAATGATGCAGGAACATAAAGTCCTCACACCTGTAGATATTTGTCCTTGGATGCTGCAGGGAAGACCTGCCAATGAGGCCAGGTGTACACTGTTAAATTCTCCTTGAAGTAAGTCAGGCATCTTCCTGCTCCAGCATCTGCCTTGATTTGACCATGGTCTTCTTGATTAGTTAGGTGTGCTTTCCCATGCCTGGTGACTCACTATTCACGTTTGTATTGCTGAATGGCTCAGAGATGTCTCTTGAGCACCGGTGCACTTGCCAATGAGTTAATCACTTAGGCTGTACAGGAAACAGGTCCAGGCAAGTGAGTTTTAAGATTCCCTATGGCCGCCTTTAACTTTGATTTTTATTAGTTGCCATTTTAGCTTATAGAATAATGCAGCAGGGAGGAAGTTTTTTTGTTGCCCTAACTCCCAGCTGTGGGGCACATCTGTTTCTCCAGCTGAGATCTGGCTCATTGAAACTTAAAGTTTGAGGTCTGAGGATAGTTGGTGGGATGAACAGATGCATCCCTCTGCCTTAGTCAAACTGCTACGCAAAGCATGTGGCTTTTTTTTTGTATCAGCTGCCGAGTTAACATTTCCTCTCTCCTTTCTCAACACTGGCGCCATCCTTAGGAACGTGCCCAGGTTTGGTTTTCAGTGTGGTAACAAGTGTTGTGTATCCCGTCTCTCTCCCGCGTTGTGTTCCTGGTCTAGACTCTTCATGATTATATGTAGTGTGGCAATTCATGTCCAGTAGAATCCAGTCCTAAGTCCTGACTTTACTGTACTTGTAGTGTTTGGTTATAACCCACAGACCAAGGTTGCTCTTCTGCCTGTTTACTAACCACTCTTTGACTTTTGGGTTTTAGGAACACTCCCGGCCTGAGTATGAAACCAAAGTTCGAGAAAAAATGCTGAAGAGTGACAAGTCAGTTGTCCAGAAATTGGGGACCAACACGACTGAGAGTGAGGATGAGGTAAGATGCTGGTGCTTGTTGCGGACTGTTTTTTTAATGTCTTAAGATCCTGTTGTCATTTCATTTGTAACTCCTTCATGGCAGAGATGGGGCTGTGAGAAGGGCTTGACAGGATGAGACAGGATGGAATGAGAGCATGACATCTCTGATTGTCCTGCAGTCAGAGCTCATGGGTAGCAAGCTTTAGCTATGATTTGATTTGTCTCTCTTTCCTGGGTGGTATCTGGACAATATCGAAGAGCAGCTTGGAGAAGAAAGAAACAGTTGTCAGGCCTGGTTCCTGTGGACTCCAACACCTAAATATCTAATAATAATCACTACCACCACCATAGCAACCCGCACAATGACAGCTAACCTTTATTGAATGCTTGTTCTAGGCTAGGCTCTGTTCTACGTGTCTTATATTATTTTATTCTCACAATAAATTTATGAGGCTGGCACTATTGTTATGCAAATGAAAACTAATGAAAAAAATCATGTCCACAGATTAAGTCATTTGCCAGAGGTTGCTAAGCAAGTTAATGGTGGGTGGGTCTGAGATTCCAACCCAGGTCCATTACTGACAGTTTATACATCCAACTACTTTGCATACTGCCGTTCTTGTGCAATGTTTAAAGCAAGAAATGGCTCTCAGGGCCAGCAGAGGCAAATTCATGCCTGTATTTGCTTGAGCTACTCATATAATATTCCTTACATTTCGTCTTATCTGGGTAGGCCTCCAAAAGTAGGAAGGTAATGATGAATACGTCTTCTGAGTCATATTTCTGAGTTTTATGGTGGCATTCAGACATTGAAACAGAGCTTCAGAATCTGCGCTGCGATCTGTAAATACTCATAGTGTGTGTGAGAGTTGGGTGTACCATGCGGGGGCTCCACTTTGGCAGAGACATCTCCTCTGAGTGCCACTGTTCTTTGAAAGCATGTGTGTGTGTGTGTGTGTGTGTGTGTGTGTGTGTGTGTGTGTGTGTGTTTATGTCTTTCCTAATCTGGTTCCTGAAAAAAAAAAAAACAACAAGATTGAAAATCTGTTGTTTTTGCATGTATCTTTTCCCCATCTTGGAAGTGAATTCAAATTTTATTTAATTTTACATTCTTTAAGTTGAAACCATTCATGTTAACATGCAAATTTATTCAAGCATCAAAACAGAAGAATGTGTTGTTTTTGAGCCCAGAACACTGGCTTTAGAAAAAAAAGAAAAGAAAAGAAAGAAAACAGGACTTTGAAGAGAAAGAGGGTGGCCCTTTGAGTTATTTTTTTCCTAGACAAAACGTTAAATTCAAGACCACCAATTATTTAGGGAAATAATGAATTCATTCTTAGGAAAGACTAATCATTACTACCACCCTCATCTGAAAGCAAGCATTTGGTGTCCTGTCCGCTTCGGCAACTCCAGGCAACCTTCTTTCTCCACCTCAGGGCAATGTAGAGTAGATAATTTTAAGGAAATCACATGTAACTTTTATTGACCACTGACTCATTTAATTTTAATTCCATAGACGGGAATGTCAAGGAGCTGGAATTGCATACAGTAAGGCTGTGGTTCTAATACAAACATTGCTTGGATATATATGCATGATAGGTCAAGTAACTCTCAGGAACCATGAATAATTGAAAAACATCTGAATGCATTATGAATGATACATATGTTTATGTTTTAGCATTCAACGTCTATTTTCATTGCACTGTTGAGAATGCAAAGCTCAAAGCATCTAATGCCTTATGGGCATCTGGGAGGGGGCGGAAATGACCTTCCCAAATGAGCAGTGTAAGATAAAAATGGCCTGGAATTTGATTGTTACCATCCTCTGTGTTCCCTCAGTTCTGTTAATATTGTAAATGCTTCTGTTCTTGTTGCAAATCTAGCCAAAGATGGGGGATGAGGGAGGGAGGAGCACATTGTGCTGCCTCATGGGAAGGATGCTGCTCTTCCTGCCAGAAGAGTTGTGGTCAATACTCACTGCAGGACAAGGCTCTGGAGGCACCATCACATGTGGGACCTTTAGGAAAGGTACCTTCCTCTGGGGAATAGACAGGGACAACGAATCAAAGTCTAGCTGATGGTCTTCCATGGCTTCTTTCATTCCAGAGGATTACCTTTGCTCTGCCTTCATTGTAACCCTGAGGCTGCCTAGCCTACCTCTCATTATTTTCCTTCCTTTTGAATGATAAAAGCTACCATTTATTGAGGTCCAGAGTGGTATAGGAACTTGCTGAAGACCACATAGCTAGTTGTGGGAGAGCTGGTAATCAAAATCAGCTCTGCCTGATCCCTAAGGCCCATTGCTTTTTTTTTTTTTTTAAGATATTAAGTCCATTTTAAAAAACATCTTTATCGAGATATAAATCCTTATACCACAAAATTCACCCATTTAAAGTATATAGTTCATGGCTTTTTAGTGTATTCACAGATTTGTGTAGTCATTGCCAAAATCTAAGTTTGAAATATGTTCATCATTCCCCCAAAGAAACCCTGCATCCAGTAGTTACTGAGTCCTGGAAACAGCTAATCAACTTTCTATAGATTTTCCTATTCTGGAATTTCATATAAATAGAATCACACAAAATGTGCTATATAGCTACTTTCACTTCACAAAATGTTTTCACGGTACATACAAGTTGTAGCTATATATCAGTACTTCATTTTTTTTATTGTCAAGTAATGCTCTGTATTTTGAATATATCTCATTTTGTTTAAATAACCATCAGTTGATGGTCATTTGGATAGCTTCAGCTTTTGGGTTATTATAAATAATGCTGCTCTAAGTATTTGTGTACATGTTTTTCTGTGAATGTATGTTTTCATATATAGATAGATAGATAAAAATACTGGGTTATATGTAACTATGTTTAACATTTTGAAACTACTATACTAATTTCCAAAGTGATTGTACCATTTTACATTCTAACCAGCAGTGCATGAGGGCTCTAAATTCTCCACATCCTCACCGACACTTGTTGTTATCTTTTTTATTTTATCCATCCTAGCTGTGCGAAGTGGTATTTCATTGTGGTTTTAATTGTCATTTCTCTAATTACTAATGATATTGACTGTCTTTTCATGTGCTTATTGTCCATTTGTTTGTCTTCTTTGCAAAGATGTCTCTTTGCCCATTTTTCAAATTGGATAATTATCTTTTTATTAATTGTTTATTTATTGTTGAATTATTTACGTACTCTAAATACCAGTGCCTTGCCAGATAATATGATTTATAAATCTTTTCTCTCATTCTGTGGATTATTAAAAATTTTATTGATGATATAATTTAAAGCACAGAGTTTTGTGATGTAGTTTAATTTATCTCTTTTTCCTTTTGCCATATGTGCTTTTGTGTCATAGCTAAGAAACTATTGCCTAATCCAGTGTCATAGAGATATACTCCTGGGTTTTCTCCTAAGAAAATCTAGCTCTTAGATTTAGGTCTGTGATCCATTTTGAATTACTTTTTTTTGTTTGAAATGAGTAAGAGGTTCAAAAAGTTTTTTGGTTTTTTTTTTTGCATGTGGGTATTCAGTTGTCCCAGCACATCTTTTGTTAAATTTGTTTATATTGTATTCTTTTTTGCCTTATTACAAATGTCATTGCCTTCTTGGTTTTAATTTTGGATTGTTTATTGCTAGCATATAGAAATATAATTGATTTTTGTATCCCACAGCTTTGCTGAACTTATTTATTGATTCTAATAGTTTTTCATGGATTCCTTAGGATTTTCTATTTAGAAGATTATCTTATGTGTGAATAGAGATAGTTTGACTTCTTCCTTTCCCAATCTGGATACATTTTATTTTATTTTATTTTATTTTATTTTTTTGTCTAATTGCCCTCGCTAGAATCTATTGTACAATGTTGAAAAGAAGTGATACGAATGGACTTTCTTATCTTGATCTTGATCTTACAAGAAAAAAGTCTTTCATCATTAAGTATGATGTTAGCTATGACACACTACCTTTTAACTCTCTTTATGAGGCTTCCCGGAGAACGATTTATGTCTGATCAACATAATGTTGATTTGAAATGATATGTTCTAACTGTAATAGGGTGATAACTACATGTCCACATTGGAGAAAGGTGACAGAAATAAGGGCCAAGGGTTCGCTGGCTTATGGTGCTTTCACTAGACAGCTGAGTCCTTCTGCCTCAGTCTTCACATGGGGAGACTGGATTTTAGCCTCTGTGATTTTCTTTGCTGATATGAGAGGTAATGTTGGTTATTAGGCCATAACTTCAGGGGATAGACTGTTTCTTTATCTTAGATGGTGGGAATTTGCTATTCTTATAGCTATTTTTATGATTTTAAGGGTATGGTCACAGTGAAAACGATAACGATAAAATTACAGGTAATATTTATGGAGTGCTCACTATGTGCAAGGCTTTATAGGTTTTATTCAATTTAAGTCTCAAAACCTTATTACCTACAACTTACACAAGAGAAAACAGAAGCTTAGAGAAAGAAATAACTTGCTTAATGCTAATGTGAACAGAGCCAGAATGTGAGCTGGGGGGTCTGACTTAAGACCATTGCTCTTGACCACTGTGCTCCTCTGTCTTTCAAATGTTTTGCCTCAACAGATCCTCAAACGCTTCTAAAAAATTGTGGTTGGTTCTTCTTCTTTATCCTAAAGGCAGGAAGGACTGTGGTATTTGTTGGAAGGATGGGTATGAGACAAACTTGCTATCCTACTTTTTCTTTAGTGGTTTGTGTACATTTTGGTGGGTGATGCTCTGTTTCCACCCGGGATAACGGTGAGTAGAATAAGCTCAGTTTACAGCAGGAGGCTCAACAGACAGCAAGGGGAATTCTGGAATATAAACACAGATACATATTGTGTTTCCAAGGAAGAATACAGGGTCTGGAACTTTTAATAAAAGAATAGGCAATTTTTTTTTTTCCTGGATTAGTTTCAGTCTTTTCTGGAAGAGTCTGTCCTGGGCACATTTGGAGGTTTCCTCAAGTTTCTCTCAAGGGCAAGATTTTTCTCTGTTCATACAAGATGATAAAGC